GCTGGCTCTCCACCCAGCCTGGCCCTTCCAGCCTTCCCCCGGCCTCCAGCCCCGCGCCGCCCCCCGGGGGTTCCCTGGCTTGTGCCCCCCGTGTGCGCAGCGAGGGCTCGCTGGTCGGAGAAGTATGGAGTAGCTGAGGGGCGGTAATTAAACTAGGAAAGCTCTTGATACACACACGTGCTACACAGAGAAACACGCACACACAGAGAGACGTACACACACACGTGTGACACAGAGACACGTACATACACACGTGTGACACACAGACACGTACACACATATGACAGACATACACACACGTGTTACACAAAGACACATACACACATATGTTACGCACAGAGACACGTACACACACAGAGAGACACGTACACACATACGTGTTACACACAGAGACACACGTACGTACGTACACACACACACACACACGTGTGACAGAGAGACACGTACACACACGTGTTACACACAGAGAGACACCTACACACACTCACCTGTTAAGCTGGTGCCACAGGACTAGTTGTTTGTAAGGTGAGGGTAACTTTCAATATCCCGCTAATTATGTTTACAAGCCTTAGGGGCAGTGCTGACTGTGCACCTTTTCTCTAAAAGCAAAAGCCATCCTGGATCGGTACTCAAGCCAAGCAATAACCATGGGACCTCAAGCCAGGGTTTGGCAAGCGTGTGTGCAGTGGCTTTCAAGGTAGTTTTGAAGATGTCAGAGCAAAGGGATACATGAGGGGAGCTACAGACTACTTTGTAACAACCACAATACTTTGCACTCGCGGGGGCCTTCCAGCGGAGGATGTCAGAGTGCAGTACAAGCAAATTTACACTCTGCCTCTCCTACTTAGAGAAGTAGATGGGGGAAATGAGGCACTGCATCAGTAAGTCACTTGCACAAAGTCATACGAATCAGTAGCAGAACAGAAAATAAAGACTTATTCCCACTTATGTGCTTTAATTTAGAGCACACTGAAGTAAAATATGTTTGACAGGAAATATTGTAACTGGACACATCGGGTATTAGGTGCAATCGTCAATAGATAAGGGTGTGACCAAGAAGATCTACTAAGGGGTCGTTTCCATCTCTAACACCTTTGATGCTAAAATTACAGCAGCAAATCTCACTCAGAGGCTATGTCTACATTGGCATGATCTTGCGCAAATACTCTTTAATGCAAGAGTTCTTGCGTTAAAGTATTTGCGCAAGAGAGCATCTACACTGGCATGTGCCTTTGCGCAAGAGATGTACTTTTGCGCAAGAGCATCCGTGCCAGTGTAGGCGCTCTCTTGCGCAAGACAGCTCCGATGGCCATTTTAGCCATCGGGCTTTCTTGTGCAAGAAATTCATGTTGCCTGTCTACACTGGCCTCTTGTGCAAGAACAGTTGTGCAAGAGGGCTTATTCCTGAGTGGGAGCATCATAGTTCTTTCGCAAGACGCACTGATTTCACACATTAGAACATCAGGCAGCAAGTTTTTGCACAAAAGTGGCTGCTTTGGCACAAGAACGCACCAATGTAGACACAGCCAGACAGATGAGTGAAGTATTAATTCAGCTGCAAGCATCCCACAGCAAATTAAAAATCCACAAATAGTGAAGATTCTTTATTTCCCCAAAAAAATCTCTTTTCTAATATGTTTAATATTCCACTTATTGTCAGTTCATCCCACCTCTTCCTACTCCTGTTTCCTACTCCTGTTTCAGCCCAGGACACAATATCCACTATTACACTGATTTCTGAGTACTATCTCACGTCACGTAAATATTTCAAGGAATTAGTCATTGTGCACTTCAGTAATAGTTTTATTAATTAAATTACCAAGCTGAAAATACCTTGGCGAATATGCCACTTTCTCAACTTATATAACAAAAACCTCCAAAATGTTTTTAAAATGTTCAGAGAATGAAACTATAAGTAAAGAAGCACTTTTGACGTGAAATTTTAATTTTTTTTTAAAAGGTTTAACTTAACAGTAGTTTCAAGGACTATTCTTGCCATTTAGTTCCCCTTACAGCTTTTTGTGGTTTTAAACTACTTTTTACAATATATTCTTAAAATTTTCTCTCCCTTGTTGCTCTGTGAAAGACCCACAGGAACAAAAGGGAAAACTGATTAATTGATTATACAGAGGGATGAGGAGTTTGGGGTGAGCAAGCAGGCTGTCCCAGAGTCAAGGCAGGGCAACAGTGAGGAAGACACCTCAGCCCTCTCCCCACTGGCAGCAGTGAGCTCCTGGGGAGGGACCCTTCTCTGTTTGCCTTCTCCCACAAAATGACATTCACCCAAGCCCCCCCAGACTATTGCCCAGGAGATCCAGCCAGGATAAGGCCTCCCCCCTAGAGTTGCCTGCTGGATGTGGCTATCATGCACCTCCTCTTCTCCTCCCTCCTCAGCCATAGTAGTTGCCCCAGCTTTCCCCTGGTACCACACCCTTGTAGTTGGCTGTGGCAATGCATGCAGAGCTGTGGGGGAGCTGCTTATTGCTCAGGGTAGGCAGGGACATTTGGGGGAGGTGCACAGAGGTGGTAGGTGGGACTGGGGGAAGCTCAGGGGAAGCATGGGGGGCCAGGGAAGATACAAGGCCCTTAACATTGGTGGAGCCAGGCTCCTGGGCTTGGAATATTCCTGGAGCCCAAGCACCACAGGCCCACGTAATTCACTGCCCTTGGTGAAATGCCACTGCTAAAGTGTGTGTCACATCCTACTCTAGTTGCTGGCTCTCCTACTGCTATTGATTGCACTGTTACACTGATTGTACATTGCTCAAGTAAAAACTGTATGTGCTGTGGACATTTGATAGGAGTAATTTGATAGGAGCCTACCATGTTTCAATTCTGCTGTAATCCATGTGAGGACCAGTATGATTCCATATAGTAACATTTTGGGGGAAGAAAGTTGCTTTTTTAAAAACACAAGAAATTACATGTTAGAAAGTTCTATGTTAAAAGAATGTTAAAGTTGCAATGTCAAGTACCCAACAGTTAGGTTACTCCAGAATTAAAATTGCCTGTGCAACCTTAATTTGGCCCTCTTGTGTATATGCCTTGTGATACAGTTTTTAAATTACATGATCACATACTTTTTCTTTCTGGACTCTTGTCTCATTCAGTGCACAAGATGGAGGAGTGCAGCTCACTGCTGATTACTATATTTATACTTTATTGTTATTTTATATTATTTATTTTTAGTCCATATTTCTTTTTGGTCTCATCATTCAGTGTGTGGCCTCATGCCATATTTACCATCCAAACGGTGTGCTGTATACATAATTATTAATTTCCTCATAGTTCTTTCTACAAATCTCATATATAGTGTGCTCAGCTATAGTGCTAAATATAATCTTATAAATCCTCCAAATGCACTGTACAGTGTTATAGATTGTTTCTAGAAACCTTCCAGAATGCTAGGGTTATGATTCAGACTATACTAACAATATTGTAATCCACAATGTAGTGGATGGTTATGATAGTATAAGACATTCATTATACAACTTAAGAAATCTATGTTTGAATTGAATGAATGGGATGGTCAGAAATACCAGAGGAAAGGATAGATTCATAAAGGTTAGTCTGATAATCCTCTGACAGTAAATTGGCCCCTGGTCTAATTAAGACAGTAGAAGGGAGAAAAGTGAAATCATTCCACTCTCAAGATGAAAAATATCAAGTACTGTAACCAAAACTTTTAAGTTTTTATCCAGTAATACTGGTTTGATAATGCAGTTTATAATTATACTTATCCAGCCTTTTGCTAACCACATTTACTAACAGTAAAAACCAGACCTGCTTTAGATAATGAAGTTCAATGTCACCTGGCCTGCCGTGTTGTGATAGTCTGGTTCAAAGTGTTACTTGCCCTGCCCATTAGTATGTGTACTGTATGACAAACATAATTTCTGTCCCATTTAAATGCATAACTTTCACTATCATGCTTCAAGGGGAGAGGAATGCACAAAATATTCTTTTCATTCACGTGGGCCTCACTCTGTGTTGACTCACTCTTGTTTTAGAAATACTACTACATTCTGTTCTAGTTTTCCAGAGCTCCTTAATCTTCTTCCAGGTTCTTAATGATGTAGTCAATAATAGGATTGTTGGTATTAATTTGGAACAATAATGCCAGCAGCATGCTTGATGGCTATTGGCAGAGGGTGACCTTGCAGGTCAGCTAAGCAGTTCTGCAAGCGCTTTGATCTGATCTATACAGAGCGGGAGCTGTCTATTCTAACAAAGGAAACTAGTAAGGTCTCTCTCCATGGGATGCTGATTCTTCTCCAAAGAGCACTGAGGACAGCATGGCAGTGGCTTTTGATGCAATGTTGGCTCGGGTCAAGGATGTTTGTAAAAGAAATGGTTTGCTCATTCTGTCAGTATTGTCTGTCATAGTGGGATGTCTTCTTGGATTCTTCCTCAGGACCAGGCGTCTTTCTCAGCAGGTCAGTAATAAATGAGTGTGGCACTGGGCAGAAAATGTCAGTTAGGTAATAAAATAGTGGGAAAAAATAACCTACGGCACTTGAAGGATGAGTATTTCAATGAATTTGTTAGTGTGATAGTAATTTGATAGGAGCCTCCCACGTTTTCTTTGGGTCTTTCTATAGATTTTATATACAGTCTATGTTGAACAAACTGTCATTTTGACACGGCAAGTCTCCTTAAGAAGCACTTTATAACATTACAAGTATGCATAAAAGTGAATGAATTACAGCATTGTACGCTATGGAAATGGTAACAGTGTAGCATGTTAACAATGTCAGAATACATTCTGTCTGAATTTGTAGCAGAACATGTAATGTAAACACAAAGACATTTTTTATGCTTAACATATCCAGAGAATCAGGTATTTATTTCACATTGAATATATTTTATAGGAACCAAATTAGAATGTCCCATTTACAAAAGACCAAGAATACGGGATTTCTATTGAAACACACCTCTACTAATCTGAATGTTTAACCAAAAAAAAAATAGAATATTACTATTTTATACAAGTTATGCTACTTAAAAATATGTGATCTTTAAACCAGTTTTGTCGTCATCTGCTGCTAGTCCAAGTTGAAAAACTTCTATATCCAAAAAGTAGCTTCATGCACATAGAATGAAATGAGCAAAATGTGGCATAAAGAGATTATGCAGTGAAGCCTATTAATAAAGGCCTAAAAAGGGTCTATTTATTTATTTATTGAGTGATTTGGTATGCAGATGGCACAATGAAATTACAGTAATATGGAGGAACTATTGAGGGGGATGGAGATTTTACTGATCATTAGGACAGGTGTCTGTGACTAACGAATTCTCGCTAGCACCTATTTTATTGTACTGTTATGGCAGAATTATTTTTGTCTGTTCATTTTCTTTTAGATTCACAATATTTCAAAGTGTCCAAGTAAAACAAAGTTTATTTTATTTTCTCCTAAACAACACATAGTCCTAGTTATTTTAAAAAATCCCTGATTTCTTCCATCTATACCACTTGAAATGATATGCACTACTTGCAAGTAATATAAACTGTACAATTTTATCACATCAGCCTTACCAGCAGCTGTAACGTGCCTTGTCAAGAAAGACAATCTTACACATCAAAACCATAAACACATCTCTCCATATATTTGTAGGAAATTAGTTATTTCCAATTCCCCGGGGAGTTATTGATGCGGATGCTGAAAATGTTGATTCTACCACTGGTTGTCTCAAGGTAAGTGAGCGTGACAATTTTCTCAAAATAGATCTAGTGTCCTAAATGAGGCAATACAACCACTTTTTAATTGTAACTAAGTTGTGTGAGAGAAAAGACTATTGTAGACACCTCTATAGTGCATTAATATTCGTGATAGATTATGAACATGGTTAGAAAAGAGATGACTAGCTGTAGAGGGTTCTGAATGAACAGCAACATTCCACCTGAATAACTCATTCACAGAAATATTTGCTTACAAACTAGGTTTAGAAATAAATTTATATTTCTTTTCACTTTTAAATAATTATTTTTATTGAAACTAAACAGAATATAGTATGAATCAGCTTCCATACCATAAACTAAATCTAATCAATTGAAAGAATATAACTTGCAAGTAAAAGAAAATACCACAATTAATTTACAGTTCTTTGCCATATTTTGAGAGAGTGAGACCTGCTGTAGTATGGTGAATACTGAAAGAAAGTATGTGGGCACTAAACTAGTAAATGTTTTGTATTGACTTCAGCTGGAGTTGTGAGTGCTTTAATGCTTGACACAAGCTTTGTGGAGACTACATTACGTGCTTGAAATATTACTTCTGTCTCTTTCTAAGAGTTTATGAAATACTATTATGTGATGTCTGATGACCTGGGTGCATGGTGGTGTTTATTCCAGGTCACTTTTGAAGTCACTCAAATAAAAATGACATTATTGGAGACCTTTTGTTTATCCAGTGAAAGTAGGTATCAAATCTCAACAACAGTATTTGCCAAACCTTGCTCTGAGTCTGTCAGAGAAATGACAAATATAATAAGGAAGAATTGGATTCCAAAATGAAAACAAAAATTTCCATTAGAATGTGCATTCGTTTTCACACAGGAGACTAGGGCAAAGTTAGTATTCATTTGTCTCTTAGTTTGGATGCATGTTAGCAGAACAGTATTATGTAAGCTCAAATAGGTTTTACCTCCAAAGCATTCCTAATTAGTAAAGACAAATGTGAAAAAACATGCATGGTATGGAAAACAGCATGGTCGATGAACTTGCAGTTTAATTTCTCTCTTATGGAAACAATATCAAGAACAATTCACTGTATTTTATAAAGTGCATTTCATGGACATGGGCAAGCTTGGCAAATTTAATTTTGATGGATAATATTGATGTTTATTTTTAAGCATCTTTTTCTATATTAAGTTTTCACAGTTATGGGAAGTTATGTGAGGGATGTCAGACATTATGGGTCAGACAGTAATTATTTAATGAGCATAGGCATGGAGATTAAAAAAATAAAGCTCTGTTACCGTTAAAAATCCAAATTGTCACCATCACGTCAAAATATACACAATAAATATTGTTACACGAAGTTTTAATGAGTTGTCAAACGGTATTTTAGTTAATTTGCCCATTTGTAAATTTAGATTATTATCAATGTATTTTTGTTGTCATTTCGTAGGTGTTTGGCACAAAATAAATGGGTATAATAGTAGGTCACACTGGTGGAGAAGTGGCACGGTATGTCAGTGGTTCTCAACCAAAGGTATGAGTACCTTGGGGCGTATACACAGGCCTTCTGGGGGTACATCAGCTCCTCTAGATATTTGCCTAGTTTTATAACAGGCTATGTAAAAAGCATTAGTGAACTCCATACAAAATAAAATTTCATGCCATGACATCTTAATACTGCTTTGTATACTATACATTCAAATGTAACTATAATATTTATATTCAAATTAATTTATTTTAGAATGATACGGTAAATATAAGAAAGCAAGTAATTTGTCAGTAAGAGTGTGTTAGGATACTTTTTGTGTTTTTATGTCTGATTTTGTAAGCAAGTGGTATTTAAGTGAGATAAAATTTCAGGGTGTGCAAAACAGTAGTCTGGAAAGTTGGAGAGCTACTGCTGTATATAAAAGAAAGCACAGTCAAATACAATACAAATCTTCAATTAATCAAACAATCCCATTAGAATCTCCATGGATAGAAATTCCATGGTTGACTAAGATTATATCAGTTATGGATGTAAAATTCCATTTAATCCCATGTACAGTAATTGGTTAAACATTATGGAGCAGCCCCCCTGCCGAGGTAGGGCTGGAGTATCCCTCTCCCCCACCACCGGGGCACCTAGACTCCTGACGCCAGAGCAACCCCAGCCTGCAGGATGCCTGGAATCCCCATGGACAGAGGCTGCTCTGCCGGGGCAGCCCCTGCCTGCAGGGCACCGGGGCCCTGTATGCGGTGGGCCTCTTGTGGGGCCCAGCCCCCACTGCTTAACGGTTAACTGGAACCGGTAAGCATGATGGTGCTTACTGGTTAACCTTTCACATTCCTAATATCAGTAGATAGTGTGACCATATTTCCCTATGCTGAACACAGGACACCTGGTAAAATTGCTCCTATTCAAGCAAGTTCAATGGTGATCAATCAGAACTATGCAGTGCAAATGTTCACAGGGAGAGGTGACACACAAACATCCTATACACCTCTCTCACACGGGGGTGGAGGTGGGTGACCGACCTGACCCAAGCCTCTCCACCTAGTGTTCTCCATCCTCCATGCCTGGTTGGGCCCTCAGGATGGACCAACCTCACCTGGTACACGGCACTGCGTCTTCTCTAGGCAACATGTGGGGAGCATGCAAGATCACAGGCCTCTCTCCCCAGATTTCAGCTGGGGCTCAGGCCAGAATGTGGTGTGGCGAGCAGCAGTCTTTTGACATGGAGGGAAGCGATGGGAACTGCTTCTAGCTGAAGGGCGGATGAGGTAGGGGTAGGGATGACCTGTCCCATGTATTTCCCAAGGTCATTTCTTCTCTCTCATCCCCCACTCCCTTATGGCTAAAAGCAGCTTGTCCTTTCCTTCTCCCAAAATGTTGAAAGGCAGCTAACACCTCCAAGCTGCTGCTGGACACCAACATAACCCCGCTGTCTTCTGTCCCCTGGCTACCGCATGGGCAGGAAGGGGTTAAGGAACGAGGCTGCAGAGGCTTCAGCAAACCCTGCCAGAGAGGTGGCTCAGAAGAGGAGGGTGCCTAGGGAACAGAGAAGCCCTACTCTCCCTGTGGGGCAGGACCTAGGGCGGGGAGCATCATGTAAAGAGGGTTCTAAGCAGGCTGCCTGGGGACTTGCAGAGTCAGGGCACAAACAGGTTGGAAATAGAGATTCCGTGTAAATGCTGCACGGAGCCCGGAGTCAGCTAGGGAGTCCCCAGCTTACCCAAGGCTCCATGCAGTGCTGCCACTTTGAAATGCTGCCATGGCATTTCAAAGCGGCAGCGCCGCACGAAGCCCATACCTCCTCTTCTCCCCCCCACTTTGCTGCCTCTATCTGATATGGAAAACAGCATGGTCGATGAACTTGCAGTTTAATTTCTCTCTTATGGAAACAATATCAAGAACAATTCACTGTATTTTATAAAGTGCATTTCATGGACATGGGCAAGCTTGGCAAATTTAATTTTGATGGATAATATTGATGTTTATTTTTAAGCATCTTTTTCTATATTAAGTTTTCACAGTTATGGGAAGTTATGTGAGGGATGTCAGACATTATGGGTCAGACAGTAATTATTTAATGAGCATAGGCATGGAGATTAAAAAAATAAAGCTCTGTTACCGTTAAAAATCCAAATTGTCACCATCACGTCAAAATATACACAATAAATATTGTTACACGAAGTTTTAATGAGTTGTCAAACGGTATTTTAGTTAATTTGCCCATTTGTAAATTTAGATTATTATCAATGTATTTTTGTTGTCATTTCGTAGGTGTTTGGCACAAAATAAATGGGTATAATAGTAGGTCACACTGGTGGAGAAGTGGCACGGTATGTCAGTGGTTCTCAACCAAAGGTATGAGTACTTTGGGGCGTATACACAGGCCTTCTGGGGGTACATCAGCTCCTCTAGATATTTGCCTAGTTTTATAACAGGCTATGTAAAAAGCATTAGTGAACTCCATACAAAATAAAATTTCATGCCATGACATCTTAATACTGCTTTGTATACTATACATTCAAATGTAACTATAATATTTATATTCAAATTAATTTATTTTAGAATGATACGGTAAATATAAGAAAGCAAGTAATTTGTCAGTAAGAGTGTGTTAGGATACTTTTTGTGTTTTTATGTCTGATTTTGTAAGCAAGTGGTATTTAAGTGAGATAAAATTTCAGGGTGTGCAAAACAGTAGTCTGGAAAGTTGGAGAGCTACTGCTGTATATAAAAGAAAGCACAGTCAAATACAATACAAATCTTCAATTAATCAAACAATCCCATTAGAATCTCCATGGATAGAAATTCCATGGTTGACTAAGATTATATCAGTTATGGATGTAAAATTCCATTTAATCCCATGTACAGTAATTGGTTAAACATTATGGAGCAGCCCCCCTGCCGAGGTAGGGCTGGAGTATCCCTCTCCCCCACCACCGGGGCACCTAGACTCCTGACGCCAGAGCAACCCCAGCCTGCAGGATGCCTGGAATCCCCATGGACAGAGGCTGCTCTGCCGGGGCAGCCCCTGCCTGCAGGGCACCGGGGCCCTGTATGCGGTGGGCCTCTTGTGGGGCCCAGCCCCCACTGCTTAACGGTTAACTGGAACCGGTAAGCATGATGGTGCTTACTGGTTAACCTTTCACATTCCTAATATCAGTAGATAGTGTGACCATATTTCCCTATGCTGAACACAGGACACCTGGTAAAATTGCTCCTATTCAAGCAAGTTCAATGGTGATCAATCAGAACTATGCAGTGCAAATGTTCACAGGGAGAGGTGACACACAAACATCCTATACACCTCTCTCACACGGGGGTGGAGGTGGGTGACCGACCTGACCCAAGCCTCTCCACCTAGTGTTCTCCATCCTCCATGCCTGGTTGGGCCCTCAGGATGGACCAACCTCACCTGGTACACGGCACTGCGTCTTCTCTAGGCAACATGTGGGGAGCATGCAAGATCACAGGCCTCTCTCCCCAGATTTCAGCTGGGGCTCAGGCCAGAATGTGGTGTGGC